GAGTTTTAGCGACAACTTTGTTAAACATATTAGTCATTAAAATGACCCCCCCCCCCCCCCAAACAAAGAAAACCTTCAGCCGTCGCCTACCTGGAAAAAAAGCTAGACGAAATTCCTCCAAACTCGGAACATCACCAGCAAACGAAGAGGGGTTCTGATTTCTGAAAACTCAACCATGTTACTAACTCGAACCAAATCAAAGATTTATGTTCACAATCCCTCTTCCCCCAATTTCTCCTACCCTTCTTTCAAAGATGTTCAAACCCTTTGTTCTGGCGATTCAATTTCCAGCAACAACCCACCCCACTCCCTAAGACGAAAAAAAAAGAGCATGAGCTCTGAAAAATAGTGAGGAGATCGAGAAAGGGTCCTTTGTTTGAGTTCCTCACCGTGAGCAGATTTCCGTTCTTGGTTCGAGTTCGTTGTTACATTTTGCTTCGGGTTGTATTCAAAAGCTTAAATTTGAATAAAAGTTAAAGAGGAATTGGCTGAAATTTTGCTATTTGATGCTGATTATTGCTCAAATGAACTCAAGGCATTAGGTACATACCCACAAATTTTCATTTACCTTTTTTAATCAATAATTTGAATTGCTTGACATGTTATGAATTTATTGTTTCTGTTGTTGTTTGGGTATATCTATACCTAATAGGGTACTCAATTGATTTAAATTTGACCCATCGTGCTTAAACTAATTGTGATTTCGTCACTAGTCATAATTTAGGGAAATGGAGGCTCATTTGTGAGAATATTAAAATGTGTGTGTTTTTCAGTTGATTCTCTGAGTGATATTATGTGTTTGAAGAACCTCGCAGTCAAATTATAATCTATATAATTCGTTATTGTAAACCCAAAGGCCTTGAGTAAATCTGTTGTTTAATATAATGTATGAATTGAGATGTTATTCACTAGGAAATAATATCCACATTGTTTTGTTCGAACCCCTAACATGTTTTACCATGAATGTGTGTAAGAGTTTTATGGATAAGTTTTATGAACAATCACGGCATCACAGTAGGAAACTTGGTTACAAAGCAACATGTCCGGCTGAATGGTGGTATTTGCATAACGTAATCCCACTGTCATAAACTTATGAGATCATGAACCAAAATACAATTAACATGCTAAATGCAACAACGAGGTTGTGGTCATAATGGAATGGAATTTTCAACATCACACAAACCACCAAAGGCTGACTAGTCCAAACAACTTGTCATATGTAGAAATAGAAAAAATATCATTTCATTTATTAGATCCAAAAACGAAAACAGCAAATTGAAGCCTTGGAAAGAAATGTGTGGGCTAGTTGTTAAAAGATTTGGACCGGAATAAACTTTATCGCACCTTGGGCTTTTAGTTAAATGTTGGCATTTTTTTTAATATCAAACTTAGGAAAGAAATAAATCATGAATAATCGCTAGTATGCTTTAGGCGCGTATTAATAAATAAATTATCGTGATCATGTACACGTTCACGTGACATAGTTATGATTTTTAAACTTAAAACCAAGGTACACATTCGCGTAACTTTGGCCAAACAATCTTAACAATTATAAATTGTTATTAGTTGTGTACATGTACGTGTGACATGACTTTGACATACCAAACAAAACGAGTACACGTACGCGTGACTCGTTTCAAGATAATTCCATAATCATGAATAATCAAGCAATTAAAAGCGGTAAAAGGTAAAATACATATAGGTTCTAAATATAAGTAATTAAGCAATTTAATTAAGCCATGTATGATTAAAAGCGGCCATGCTAAAACCACGGAACTCGGGAGTGCCTCACACCTTCTCTCGGGTTAACAAAATTCCTTACCCGGTCTTCTGGTTTCGCGGACTTTTTAACAGAGTCAAATTTCCTCAATTTGGGATTTAAAATAAACCGGTGACTTGGGACACTATAAACTATCCCAAGTGGCGACTCTAAATTAAATAAATAATTTCATTTCGAACAACGTCACTTTAATTGGAAAAACTCCCTATTCCTTTGGAAAAAGGAGGTGTGACAGCTCTGGCGACTCTGCTAGGGACAAGAACCCAAAATCTCTGGTTCAGAATTCGAGCTTGTTAATATGATCCATGCTTGGCTTTATTGTTTGTTGATATTACTGTGTTTGTGGACTTAATGTGCTAATTGACGCTCATTTACCTCTTTGATATTCCTTGAACTTTATTAAACTATCTTTTTATGCCTCCCTTCTGAGTGTTCTAAAAATATGGTGTACACGTACGCGTGGCCCAATTTTCTGTTAGAGATCGTACCAAATATAATGAGGCTGGATCAGCAACTAGACTGGGTAGAATTTCGTGCTTCCGGTACATTGCCCACACCTCGGATCGAGCTGTCTGATTGGGTAAGCCATGTCTAGAACACATCCCTAGGGTTTTAAACCTAGAATAACATAGCCTCATGTCGAATCTCTAGTAGAAACGTTTGTTTGCATCACGTACGTTTGACTTTGGGGACTCAACACAAGGGTTGGATCCGTCTAAGATAGGTGTACCCAAAAATAAAAGACCATCCTGAAGCATCGTATGTACTACATGTTGCATTCTTCAAGGGTAAAAGGGGTCATTTAGCGAACCAATGATGGTTGAGGGTAAATGAGAAAGAAAAGAAGGTGAAGTTTAAAAATGAAGCAAGTAGGCCTAGTTATATTTTTCTTTCACACTTTTTTTTCAAGACAAAAAAATTAATAAAAATGAAAAATCCAAAAAAGATTTTGCACTTTCTCATCATTTTGAAAAAAAAAAGGCAAAAAATATGTTTTCTCCAAATCAGTTATTTTTTTTAATTCTCGATCGTATCTAATCTTCCCGAACTACGCATACCTGATTCTCGTCTTTCGGGGCAGGATACATAGGTAACCCACATAGGGTCCGGTCTTCCTAGTGCCTCTTAAGTTCTTGGCTTCAGGTGTCGTAGCCAAATCTTGCATGTCTAGCCATGTTTGGCAACATTGGTCATTTTGCAAAATGGGGTTATTTTCTCAAAGTGGCTTGCTATCCCATTTCTTAAAGCCCTAAGTCCACAACAAGGTGTCCTCTCAGTTTTAAGGTCCATTCCTGTTGAATTTTCATGTCTAGCCATTGTTGGCCACATCGGCCATTCTTGCAAAATGGGGTCATTTTTGCGAAAGTGGTTTAGTGACCCGTGTCTTTGAATATTGAGTCCACAACTAGGTGTAATATTATTATAAGGCCCGTCCTTGTTGAACTTGCATCTCTAGCTGCGTTTGGTCACGTCGGCCATTTTTGCAAAATGGGTCATTTTTACGAAGTAATTTCTAGGGCCATAATTATTGGGAGTTTGAAGCCATATAAGACTTAGTGAGGTATTTGCATTTCTTGGAGGTCATCTTTGTTGAGTTTGCACTAATAGTCACCCTTGGCCACATAGGCCATTTTGCAAAAATAGTCCAGTCATGTCTTGCATGTGTTCACTAGGAGGTGTTGTGGCGTCGCATAGTGTCTCGAGTCACTAAATCTATTTGGTCTTATTTTTCTCATGCAGGTATGGATCCATGTACCAGAGCTCGAGCATGACAGATACCCTAGGACCATCATATTTGGGAGCTTGTTTGGGGAAACTTTTTATGTTTTGAGTCTATTTTTGTGCTGTTTTTTTTACTTTCTAATCTTGTCTAGTAGTATGCAGTCTTTTAGTTGGTGTCAGAGTTTGTCGTAGTATAGTTGAGTTTGTCGAGTCTCTCGTTATCGTACTTCCTGTTTTGTATTTGAAAATCGAAAAAAAGTTATAAATGAAAAATCCAAAAATATTTTATTTTTAATTTATTTTGTCCATTACTTTATGAGAAATATGCTTGGTCTTATTCATGTGGAACATGATACGTTGGCAAACTACATAGGGTTCGATCAAATCGTTTTTGAAACTAAAAGAGAAAAAGAAAAAAAGAGGATGATGTTATAGGATGTGAGAAATGAGAGCAAAGAAAAGAGTGATAATTAGAAAGAAAAAGAGAGGAAGGAAAATAAGCAAGCCAAGAAGTGCTAAAAAAGAAAGAAAAAGAAAAGATTGAAATGAACAAAATTGGGATGATGTCAAGTGACCTTGTGACCCTCAAAGTCATTCTAGAACTGTTAATTGTTGCTAGATGCATTGCACACAATGTGATATTTTTGTCTGATAAATGCCCTAATGCTAATATATTGGCTTTGTTTTGCTCCTATTTGTTACTTTCATTATTATCATAAAAGAAGGTTATTAGTTTGTGGCATTCTAGCAATTCATCCATACAATACAAGGTCAAGGAGCAAGGTAGCCATGGCTAGCAAAGACTTGGACACATGAGTTGTTGACCTATCGAGAGGGATTGTGGAGTCGGAATCTAAATTGAAAGAGGAGGTCCAAAGGTTGAACAGCAGATGGCAAACATGTATCGGGCTTGGATCAGGGGGCATCCTCCACCTTCATTCCCCACTAACTACACTGAAAACCCTGTAACTATCCCACCACTATCACAAGCCCAAGTTCCCACTACCGTTGACCTTTCCCCTCAACATGCACCAGGCTTTACCCCTTACCACAACTACCCTTGCACCTCGTCCCAAACTTTCCATGCTCCACCAGTCAAAACAGCCTCATACCCTGCTCCGACATCTACTCCTATTTTTGCAGCCCCTCCACAAGCTACCGTCTACCGATCTTCTAGTGAACCCGCGTTCAAAGCTCCAGATGCCTAATATTATGCTACAGAAACAACCTTCAAGGTCCCGGATCCTTATTGTTACACCCCTCACTTTGAACCTCCTGTTGAAACAGAGAAACCATCAAAGAATGTGGAGCAAGATGAGATATTCAAGAAATTCAAGAGTTTAGAGCAATGTTTGAGGAACATGCAAGGAAGCCAACTAAGTGTGGCTTACAAGGATTTGTGCTTGTTCCCTGATGTCCAATTGCCCGTTGGGTTCAAGATGCCCGAGTTCGACCTGTCCGATGTACATGGAGATCTCGTGGCCTATTTGAGAGGCTTTTGTAGTAAGATGAGAGGTGCCAGTGGGAAGGACGAATTATTGATGGCGTATTTTAGTGAGAGTCTGAGTGGGGCAGCTCTGGAATGGTACACTCACCGAGATGCTAGCAGGTGGTACACATGGGACGATTTGGTTCAGGCCTTTGCTCGGCACTTTCAGTACAACATAGATATTGTCTCGGATTGCCTATCCTTGACCAAGATAGAAAAGAAGACCAACGAAAGCTTTAAGGAATACAGGTTCAGATGGAGAGAGCAAGTTGCACGGGTCAATCCTCTGATGGAAGAAGACGAGATGGTCGATTACTTTCTTCAAGCCCTAGAGCCTACTTACTTTTTCCATTTGGTCTCAGCCATAGGTAAGCCCTTCAATGATATGGTAAAGATGGGAGGAATGGTAGAAAATGGGTTGAAGCCGAGCAAGATCATGAACTATTCTGCCTTAAAAGCCACAATACAAGCAATTCAGAATAGCACAGGAAGCTTGCTGGGTTAGAAAGAACAGGATGATGTTGCCATGGTTGTCTCAGGATCACGACATGGCCCAACGGGTCCACCTCACCAATATACTCAGCCTCAACCCCAACCCTAAACTTCTCCCCGAGCTTCATATAATCCACCCTAGTATTATCCTCCAAACAACATCCGGTCAACTGTCCAACCACTAGGTTACTCCTTATGGCGAGCGCCAGCACCGCATAATACTATTTCACCTTCACAACATTTTAGAGCACCCAACGACCCTAGAAAATAGTGGCATGGAGGGGAACAAAGTCAAAGAAATAGTTTCACGCCAATCAGGGAATCCTGCACAAGCTTGTTTGAAAGGTTTAAACATTCTGGCCTGATTGAGCCGCTCCTCGGCTATACTCCAGACCCATATGCAGAAGGTTTTGATCATATTGTACGGTGCATGTACCACTCTAATGTCCAATGGCATAATATTGAAGATTGTCATACTTTGAAAAGGGAAATAGAAAGAATGATTCAAGAAGGGATAAATGTGATCCAGGACAGTGACACCCAAAATATCGTGCAAATTCCTTTACTTGCACATGATGATGTACACTTTGTGAGGATGATGCGTGGTAACAGGGAGTATGAGAATTCTCGCGGGAACTTGTGTAAGCACGTAATTCTTGACCCGTGCAAATTTTAAAGTTAGTTTTAGTATTTTAATATTTTTAAAATATTTACTTGACTTTATTTTAATATAATTTTAATCTTTTACTTTTAGTCCTAGGACATAAAAAAATAGTTTTATTTGTTGTGTTTATCGCTTTTCTATATTTTTATCATTAGTTTAAGATCAATTCGTATATTTTTATTCATGGTGTCTTAATTTTATCGTGACTTTAGCCTATTTTTTTTGCTTTTTACTTTATTGTTATAACATTTAAAAATACAAAAGAAAAAAAATGGTAGGTTCATTTTAAGATTTTGTTTATATTCTTAACTAAGTTTAATTAATATTTGGTAAGATTTTTGAGTTTGTCTTTGTCCAACAAGAAATTTGTAGGCCCAAAGGTGTGAGTCCATTCCTTTTAACTTAAACCCAATTATTCTTAGTCCATTCTTCCCAACCTATTAGCCCATTTATGTGCAAGATTTAATCCTAGCCATCTATTTCTTTCTAATCCAATGGTCATCATCCCTTCCCACTTTCATATAAAATACCAATTATAGAAACCCTAAAAAACGTTTTCAACTCCTAGTCTTGAAAAAGGGACCAGCTGCCAAAACCTCCACGAAAAGGCACCAAAACCGCCCACCACGTCCTCAGCGGCCACACACGATCGGAACCCTAGAACCTTAGCAGACTGGATCTTCTTCTTCATGGAAAAGAGACAAACTGAACCCTAAACCTCCATAGCCGTCGGACCTTCCTTCTTCTTCAACATAAAAACCAAACACAAACCTTAACCTTCTTCCTCATGAATAAAACAACAATGGAACAAGCTAAAACCTAACTAATCTACATCGCCGATGCCGCCAGCAACAACCCTTCTCCTTCTGCACGCCACCAACAGTCCCCTGAGTTCACCAAACACCAACGAACAACACCAAAAGACGACCCTAAACCACCAGTAGCCTAGCCGCCAGCGACCCCTCGCCTAAAAACGACCAGCTCCTCTCCAACCAACAACCCCGATCTCCATCCCCGTCACACATGCCGGAAACTCCAACCAGACCAGCAAATCCTCACCACTCATACACAGGCATACGCGAGAAACAAGTGGTATTGGTTCGTACATGAGGTTGAGTTGAGTTTGTTGAAGTCGTTGTTGTCCGCCGAGGTCTTGTTCAGTCATACGTCGAGGTTACTGTTCGAGTTCTTGTTGCTGTTTTCATCCTGTTCGTGCTGCGATTCGCTCGATTTTGGCTTAAGGATCTTGTACGATTTTCAAGTGTCGAAGGAAATCTGATAACTCTTTTGAGGTTCATTTCTCGCTTTGCTCTCACTTTAGATTTTGTTCGCGTGTATGTGATTGATTTTTGATGACATGAATGCTATTTGTTTGTCCTCTGTTTGTAATTCGCTTCATTTAGTTTGAATACTGGGCTTCCTTTTGATCCTTAATTTCACCTGAGAACAACACTAAACCAATTTGCTAAATCGTTAATAATGTGACATGGCCTAGTGACTTAGTTCGATCTGAAAATCTGTGCGGGCTATATGATTTATTTGTGAGTTGATATTGGGGAATTAAATTGAAAGTTAAAAATGAATTTGCTATCATTTGGTTACTAGCAGAAATATTTTTGTTTGGTAAGTGTCTTGAACGTCATTGTGCAATTGAGAATTAGCATGGATTTTGTGAAAGAAATTTGATTAGAAACATAGATGGTCTTGGTTTGGTTAAAAGCAAAACTGATACAGCATGGTACCAGAATTGATCAAAAGTTTAGGATTATCATGTCTATTATTTTAAATGTCCGTTAGAAGCATGTTTAGGCCGGCCACACTTAGATAGGCAATTTTAGGATTTTTCATTTGCTTTTGGTTTAGAGGTGAGAGGTTGTCCCTTAGATAAATTCATCCGGGGAATGCCCCGTGGACTTTGTAAATATTTTTAACCCGGGGAATGCCCCGAAGTAAATGTAAATGGAGTCGCGGTATCATCAATGGAGGCGTAGTATGAGCTAGGAAGACTTGCTTTATTTTGTTTTATTTCTTTTTATTAGGAAGGGACGACCTCTAACCCTTTGGATGTTTATTTTCATTTGTGTGTTTTACCTTAATTTAAATATCTTAAAAGCCAACTAGATTGAGTACGCAACCGTGATTTTCAAGGGACTTGGGGAGTGCCTAACACCTTCTTCCCGAGTCAAATGAACCCCCTTACCCGAATCTCTGGTGCAGATTTAGATTTGGAGTCCTAAGTGTTTTTTAAAAGGAAAAATTATTTTTTTTAAAAAAATGGTGACCTGACACACCGAAATCAAATGTCAGGTGGCGACTCTGAATTATTTTGAACACAAATTTTTGTCACTTTCAAAATTGAAAAACCCTTTTGAGCCTTGCGAAATCTTTTTATTATTTGTAAGAGGGTTAGTGAGGTTTGGTTAAAAAAGGGGTGTGACATCTCTGGCAACTCTGCTGGGGATTTGCAGGTTCGAGCTAGTACTTGATCTTGTTGGCTTTTTAGGATATTCGGTTGAGGTTTTTATGTGTTTTGTTTGCTTTATTTAATTTTTATTTTGTTTATTTCATTTTATTATTTGCTAGTTGCTTATTTGTTTATAGTTTTTCCTTTATGTGTTATTGTTTTATAAACTGTCATCATATGCATTAC